TGGTAGAAAACGGTTCCTTTCGTTGAGATCTTTCATTAGAGCAATGTTTCTCAACTTTTTTTTTACTGATGGCCTACTTGTGAATTTTGTTATTTTTTAATTATCAAGAAACCATTTTCAAGCTCATTTTGTTTTGACGCTGAAATTTAAAAAAAAATGCATTTTGAAAGTTGTAGAAAAACTAATCTCTACAGAAAAATAACCCTGATAGGCGGTAGAGGGGTGTTATTCGTGTTAGAAAAAAGAACACATATTTTCCGGTATTGCGTCTACCAATTGCATTGTGCGTTTGCCAATTATAAACATTTAAATTTAAAGGTTCTTTCTAGGAAAGGTACACTGAGATAACATAAACAATGATAAAGGGTTATTGTGGTATAATTTTTGTGCTGACCATTTTTGGTAAATTTATTTAATTTTAATATTTCATTAAGATATTGTAGGAGTAAATTTTCGTGGCCCACTGAAAAGTTTCCGTGGTCTACCAATATTCTGTCTTTCGTTTGTGGCCCCAAGAAATACGCCATAGCCTCCTAGGGGGGCATATGGCCTCCGTTGAGAAACACTGCATTAGAGTACCATGAAGGATAAAACTAGTTCCTTCCCCCCTCCCTCCGCCCCGTACTTAGAAGAGGACAGAAAGACGTACTTAGAAGAGGACAGAAAGAAGGGCAGTACTTAATTAGAATACAATGAGAGATAAAATTAATTTATACCCCCCCCCCCCCCCTCAGGCACCGTCGCTCACTGATCTCGAAAAAAGTCACACGGGAAAGTTATACTTTACAGTTTTTATCGATTAGAGCTCAATCGAAACGATAAGGCGCCAAAACTTGATTCTGCACCCCTTCAAAAAATACCTAGTTACGCCACTGCTTTATATCAATCACTATGGCTATGTATTCATAGTCATACTAGTTTTTTGAATAAGCGAACATACCCGATAATTTGTTTGAAAGAGAATGATGGGGCCTACTTACTAATCTTTTCGATTGTTCGCAGCCCCAGAAATGGTTATACTTCAAGACATAGCGCGCGATCTCCATCTCTGGTGAGGGTCCAACTTCTGACATGGAATACATTAGCCTGGGTCCTGCGGTAAGTCTAATAAAAATAAACAGACTTGGTTTGCGCAAAACTTCTTAATTTCTTTAACGTTGCATATTGCCTTTGTAAAATAAGTAACTGGCTTTGGTTTCATTTGCAATAGGTGTCGTTTTACACATAAATCACTAATCAGCACCAGCATGGTATCAGAGCTTTTTGTAATATGTACTTTCTTCACATTGCAGATAGGTGCCTCCAACTAGTCATACCTGTTTGTCAGTAATCTACGAACAAGTGCGGGGGGCAGCGTGTCGTCCCTCCTGTGTTCGTGTTCCTTCCTGGGCGAGACCGAAAAAATAAGGCTAAGGGTAAGTTGCCAATTTTTTATTATGAACTTGACATTAAGGGTAAAATTTAAACAAAAGCAAATGTACCTAAGGGTAGTCTGTTCAAGAAATGAAAGATCTGTTTTTAGTTCAATTTTCTCTTACGGGCTCTCAAAAAGTATTGGACTAAGCATAATTTAACTTCCCTTTCTCCATATTTTTCATTAATTTTTTGTTTCAGATTCTAGATGGGCAGCCTTATAAAGGTAGGATTTTCTTTTCTATGCATGGGCTATTTTTTATTTTTTATGTATTTAGCAGTGGGTGAATAGTGCATACAGTGATTAAAGTGAAAATTGGCTATTCTTTTAGCTATCCTTCGTGTTGTCAGTCTAAATCGGTTATGATTATTTCCTCGGCCCATCATTTTGCTGACGTGGGATTCACTGCAATAATTCTTTGAATGGACGGCAATCAGTTCACTTCATGTAAATCAGTATGACTATGAATTCATAGCCATACCAGTTTCGTGAAGTATATTGATCTTTTCTGCGAGTCATACTATGAGGAAGTAATGCAGTTAATTGTTACGTTCTCAAGATGAATGTTTTCGAGGATAGTCATAGCCCATTTATTACTACACGAAGGTCGATTTATTCGTTTTTAAAAGAAGGTGAGTAATTAAATCGTTAACTAATTAGTCTTGTCCTAACTCTTCTTTCATGCGATGAGACTGATTATTAAACGAATATTATTTACGAGTATTTGGTGGTCGTACTAATCTCATCAATTGTTCACAGGACCATCTGCATTTCCTGACCAGGATTGATCATTCTCAATCCTATGCTGGACCTGATCGGATTCAAGTCTACTCTCGATTCTGGTGATGAATCTCAAAGTTTAGTCGAACAAGGCGCAAAACAATTCGGATTGATTTGGATTTCATACCTGGCATAACGTAAAAAACAAGGAAAAGGATTTTTCCTCTTAAGGCAAGTAACTTTACTACATTTTCGAAAAGCCATACGGACATAAGCAAGATACAAACATCCTTATGCGTTTTGCGCATATTTGATACATACTAATACACGATATATGTGTTTTTACGAGAAGGATCTATAGTTAAAATTTCAAAAAATATCTTAGTAAATAAAAAAGTTGCGCATCGCGCAGTTTGCGCATGCGCACGATCTGGTTTTACGATGCGATGTGTTGGACTGTACTAGAAGCATGTGATCTGTGGTTAAAATTTTAAATCAATGTGTTTATATTGCGCATGCGCACACTAATCTTCAACATTTTTCTTCCGTTGACTGATTTTTTTTCTAAATCCGTATTAGTTTTACATTCCAACCGCATACAAAGTTTGTATAAAGAGAAGTATCGTAATCGTGATAAATTTTCGATATGCCGTAGAAATCATGGAAAATTCAAAAGTTCAAAAATTGTAAAATGTTTGATATCCATTGTGGAATACGGTTATTACGGTCGAAAAGGCGTTTGATATTTATTTTTCCTTTTTAAGTAAAGATTTGCGTCAAAATAATAAAATAAGGCGTTGGAGACATTAATTTCCTATTAATACCTTCTTCTTGTGATCCGGTTACAATAATCGAGATTTTAAAATCTTCTACGATTTAAAATATAATATTATGATATTTTTGTTATTAGATCTTTGGACTGGAACCGCGAGTTGTATTTCTATTTTTTGGAAACTTAAAACCTTCTTTTAAATTCGGGAATGGTGTATCATGTAGGCTTAAATTTGAGAGTCTCATTTTTTAGAATTTCTTTTTCATGCCATCGGAAGATTTCTGAAAGTCTTGAAAAATGAAAAAAGTAGCATTCGGAAGGCTTTTTAGAGCCGCCCAGAGACGTTCTAGATGGAGCTTCAGACATGTAACGGGAGCTCTGTAGCGTATTTATTTAATTGGAATTGTTCTTAAATTTTTTCGAGTATTTGTGAGCTAACGTTCCTGGATACACTCCAGTTGAATTATTTGCATATAGCTTGAGTCGCTAGGTAAGATAAAATTAGAAAAGTAGAGTACAGCTGAATCACATCCTGTGATTGATAAGAGAACTGTCAACTTTTTGCCGAGGTGTAGGAGAGATTCGTAATCCGTCGAATAGCGCGTAAAATTTTCAATGAGTTTTGAGCCGGCGTAGAGCTCACGTCAAGGTATTAGAAGAGAGGAAAAATAAAAATTGGTTTTGAGCCGTCGTAGCAATCACGTGAAAATAAACAGTTTCAACACAGAAAATCAAGTTCAATTTCTTAACAAAAAGTCACGTTGCAAAAGCGGGCGTAGAATCGGCCTCCGTAAGAGGTAATAGTAGTAATAATAATATTTATTGTGCTGTTGTGTTGCTACACTTGCACTTGTCATGGTAAAAATATGTATACAGGGTGCCCATTATGTATGGAATATAGTATATATCTCGGTAAATATTGAATGTATACAACATTTTTCTATTTGAAAGTTGTTTAACATTTTATTGCCCATAATAAGGCGGCATTCAGTTGTTTTTAGTTCAGAAAACAAATGAGTAACGAAAAATAATTGAATTTTTTTTAATGGCAGTGCACCTTTTCATTAGGATCATTTGATAAAGGTTTTTTTAATCTTTTCGATGATGTTAGTATCCTAATACAAGAAAATTTTTCAAACAAACTTATAATCACATCAATAACATTAATCTAGATATCATAAATATCAAAATAAAACAAATGAATGTGTATGTTTGTTACCATTTTATTGTTAATTGTCTTCAAGGTTTAATAAGAAACGTACACGTTCATTTGTTTTATTTGTATTAGAGTACTAACATGTGACATCATCGGTAAGAGAAAAAAAATCTGTATCAAATGAGCCTAATGAAAAGGTGCACTGCCATTTACAAAAATTCAATTGTTTTTCGTTACTCATTTGTTTTCTGAAATAAAAACAACTGAATGCTGCTTTATTATAGGAAATAAAATATTAAATAACTTTCATGTAGAAAAATCTTGTATACATTTTATATTTACTGAGATATAAACTATAGTCCATACGTAATGGGCACCCTGTATAACTATAGTCCATACATAATGGGTACCCTGTATAACTCGTAAAACAAACAGTCGGACTTAACCATTCTAGTATGTAACTTCAATCAATGATTCACCACGAATCCTAGATAAAGGATGAACCAATTCATGATTGAACTGCTCAGATGAGTAGATTTAGACGCCGTATAAATATGATAAATTGTATTTATTGCTATTTGTATTCAATACGTCCGAACCGTTCTTCTTTCAACCACTTGGAATTTTGACGTTGATGCAGTAATGAAAAAACGACTCGGTCTAATGATTGTTGTACATGTCGGATTTGTTGTGAGAGAACTTTACCATTTGTGATCTATTGTTATAAAAAGAGAATTATTTAAAGTAGGAGTTGGTTTCATCGAGCTTTCTTAGCAGAATCTCGCCTCCGAGATAGGTAACTCGCCCCCCGTTCGTGGTATCCGAGTCTACAGTTGAGAGTCGAGGTCAATCACGACATTCGGTGTCGTAAGTTATAGTGGTGGTGCTCACTTCATTTCAACTTCAAGCTAGAGAAGACTAATGATCTGTGTCGGAACTGAATTGAAAGACATTTACATCTTTATTGTAGGCGATACCTTACGTGCGCAGCAACACATTTTTATTGTCACATTGTGGGCTTAAACTTTAATGACTGTAAGGGTGGATAGTTCTAATTTCGTTGCATTAGAAGTGTCCAACCTTACGTAAGTAACATCGTTTTACAATAACCGAGTATCTTCACAACTCGGCAGCTTTCGATTTTCCAACGACGACGAATATCATCTGTAAGGCTACCGTGATCTTGGATATGATCTTCTGGTACCACCACGGCTTGTTCTTCCACATTATTAACGCGACGTACACGGGAACCGACGTCAAGATCATAAGGAGACCGATGCCGGTCTCGACGGGACTAGCGATCATCGGCACGGCGGTCACGAATATCGTCGCGAGCAGGTAAATGATCGGCCAGATTAAGTTCACTTTGATCGGCCTTTCTAAATTTGGCGCTTTCCATCTGAGCCACGGCAGGCACAGGACCGACACTCCGATGCTCAACTGAAAATACCGCATTAAAGCGTAGACAGTGCGCCTTGAACTTACCCAGGTAGCGAATCCGACGTAGTTAATCAGGGCGAAGATATCCGAAACGGTTAGGTATAGCATCGACAGCAACGCCTAAAAGTGTCTAATGAGAGAGGATCGGCGAACGGTCCAAGTTACCATCGCCAAAACTGCGGGCGTCGGCGTCAGCCGTTTCGCTTGGATCATCGTCAGGATTTCGGGCATTTGGCCGTGACAGGCGCCGGCGTAGAACAATCTCGAGGAGGTGAGCAAAATTCCATTAACCGCCCCAAAGGTTGACAACGCAACGAAGATTGGGATGGAGAGTGCGAATGGGCCAAACAGCTTGTTGGCGAACGAAACCGCTACCGCCTCCGATCCTAAGACTTCCGCTGGCGACAACGTCGTATAAAAGGCAACGTTAGTGAGCACGTACACGATTGTGACCAACGTGCACGATATTGCAATCGCTAGAGGAAGATTTCTGCAAAACGGCAATAAGAGCTAGGGTTAAGACGCGCATGTAATACCTCACTGGATCCTTTAGTTCTTCTATTATGAAATTTAGGTAATTCCTGAAAAAAGTCTAAGCTGATTAAACACTTTTGACATCACAACACAAAGATTAAGTGGTTCCAGCCCAGCAATTGCTAAGGAATGTTATACCTTCCATCATTTCCCATACTCTTTTTTGCAGTGTGGTGCTAGACGGTTTGGTCGCAACGATCGCAAAACACGTTTCCTTTTATTTATTCGAAAAGAACTAGGTGCTCTAACTATCCTGACTAGGTGGTCCACCAATAGATATGTTTTGTCCAGACGTCCCATTTGCTCTTTGTAGATTCCCCTCTCCGACACTTTCGTTCACGAGATATTCATTTTGACTTCACCAAGGGATATGCTTAATCCAGATGTTCCAATAGCCAATTGTGGGTACCCTCCTCCAATATTTCATACTCGCACTTAACGTTTTGACATCATTAATAGATATGTCTCCTCTAGGCGTCCATTTTGTTCTCAAGATATAAGGAAATATAACTTATCTCGGAAAGATACTGGAGAGGAGGGCAGTAGGAACTAATTCCTGCTGTTGAGACTTCTCATTGGAATACTATGAAGGATAATACCAGTTTTTAACCCCTCCCCCAATTACAAAAAAGTAAGGATTTATAACGGATCCCGATAATAGGTCATAGAGGAAAGCGAGAGTTGGTAGAATAAATTCAGTGTCTCTCCCGCCCCTCCCCCTCAATTTTGATAAGGAGTAAGAGAGAAGGGCGGTAGTTGGTAAAAACAGTTCCTTTCGTTGCGACCTTTAATTAGAGTACTATGAAAGATAAAACCAATTTTTGCCCCCCTCCCCCTTGATCTCGAATAAGAATCGCGGAAGACTGTTATACTTTGTAAAAATCAATTCCTTTCGATGATACCTTTAATTACAATACCCTGGGCCTGGCCCTGGAGGGTAGAACGTGTGTATTTTAATTAATTGTTTAATTTCAACCTTTCCTTTGAGATGTCTCCGAATTAATTAAAAAAATTATTTCTTGACTTACGGGGTGGTTGTAAAAAAAACTGTGAGCTAGGTGATTAAGAGAAACGTTCGATCTATCATGACGGTAACATTTTTTTCCCAACTCTCCTGCAATTATTTCAATTAATTATCTAATTTCCACCTTTTCTTTGAGATATCTCCGAATTAATTAAAAAAAAATGATTTCTTGATTTACGGGGTGGTTGTAAAAAAACTGTGAGCTAGGTGATGAAGAGGAGCGGTCGATTTATCATTCTTATAACATTTTTTCCCAACTCTCCTGCAATTCTTTCAATTAATTGTCTTAATTTCAACCTTTTCTTTGAGATATCTCCGAATTAATTTAAAAAAAATTATTTCTTGACTTACGGGGTGGTTGTAAAAAAACTGTGAGCTTGGTGATTAAGAGGAACGTTCGATCTATCATCCCTGTAAAATTTTTTTCTCAACGCTCCTGCAATTATTTCAATTAATTATCTAATTTCAACCTTTTCTTTGAGATATCCGAATTAATTTAAAAAAAATTATTTCTTGACGTACGGGGTGGTTGTAAAAAAACTGTGGGCTAGGTGATTAAGAGGAACGTTCGATCTATCATTCCTGTAACATTTTTTCCCAACTCTCCTGCAATTATTTCAATTATTTATCTAATTTCAACCTTTTCTTTGAGATATCTCCGAATTAATTAAAAAAAAATTATTTCTTGGCGTACGGGGTGGTTGTAAAAAAACTGTGGGCTAGGTGATTAAGAGGAACGTTCGATCTATCATCCCTGTAGCATTTTTTCCCAACTTTCCTGCAATTATTTCAATTATTTATCTAATTTCAACCTTTTCTTTGAGATATCTCCGAATTAATTAAAAAAAAATTATTTCTTGGCGTACGGGGTGGTTGTAAAAAAACTGTGGGCTAGGTGATTAAGAGGAACGTTCGATCTATCATCCCTGTAGCATTTTTTCCCAACTTTCCTGCAATTATTTCAATTATTTATCTAATTTCAACCTTTTCTTTGAGATATCTCCGAATTAATTAAAAAAAAATTATTTCTTGACGTACGGGGTGGTTGTAAAAAAACTGTGAGCTTGGTGATTAAGAGGAACGTTCGATCTATCATCCCTGTAGCATTTTTTTCCCAACTCTCCTGCAATTATTTCAATTAATTATCTAATTTCAACCTTTTCTTTGAGATATCTCCGAATTAATAAAAAAAATTATTTCTTGATTTACGGGGTGGTTGTAAAAAAACTGTGAGCTTGGTGATTAAGAGGAACGTTCGATCTATCATCCCTGCGTTATGTAATTTCAACTGTTCCTTTGAGATATCTGCGAATTAATTACAAAAACATTTTTTCTTGGCTTACGGGATGGTTGTAAAAAAATGTGAGGTAGGTGATAAAGAAGAATGTTCGATCTATCATCCCTGAAACATTTTTTCCCAACCCTCCTGTAATTATTTTAATTAATTTTCTAATTTCAACTTATGGTTTGAGATGTCTCCGAATTAATTTAAAAAAAATTATTTTTTGACTTACGGGGTGGTTGTAAAAAACCGTGAGATAGGTGATAAAGAGGAACGTTCGATCTATCATCCCTGAAACATTTTTCCCCAACCCTCCTATAATTATTTTAATTAATTTTCTAATTTCAACTTATGGTTTGAGATGTCTCCGAATTAATTAAAAAAAATTATTTCTTGACTTACGGCGTGGTTGCAAAAAAACTGTGAGATAGGTGATAAACAGGAACGTTCGATCTATCATCCCACTCATCCTGCAATTGTTTTAATTAATTGTTTAATTTCAACCTTTCCTTTGAGATCTTTCCGAATTAATTAAAAAAATTATTTCTTGACTTACGGAGTAATTATTAAAAAAATGTGAGCTGGCTAATAAAGCTGAACGTTAGAACTATCCCTGTAACATTTTGCCAACCCTCCTGTAATTCTTTTGATTAATTGTCACATTTCAACCTTCGTTTCGAGAGGCTTCCGAATTATATTTAAAAAACACTTGACTTACGGGGTTGTTACAAAGAAATTGACTGTTGAGTGATAAAGAGGTACGTTCTATCTATCATCTCTGTAAATACCATTCCTGAAACCCTCTTGTAACTTTTAAAAATGTAAAATGCCAATTTTGCTTTGTTTGGAGGTTTTAATTTTGATTCTCTTATTTTAGATTAACAAAAACAGGCACTGAATTTCTTTAATCTAATTTTTACCAAATAAAAGGCGTCGTTCTGCAGTGGTCTTTGGGAAAGTCAATTTTGCCCAGAAAAATTACCACCCTCTTTTAGCTAATTTACTTGGTCGAAACGAGCAATTTTTGACACCTTTAAAATTGCAACTCCGACATGAATGTGAAAGTTGCGACAACCCCTTGTAAAAGCACGTCGTAATTAGCACAAGGTAACGTGGTTTGCGATCTTTGCCAATCATTCAAGACAAAGGCAAAAATTCAGTTTATATTTGAAAGCGTCGCTGCACAAATAGGAATTTAATACGCCATTCCTTTCGGATTGGATTGTGAAATCTCTGACAGTCTAATTAAAAATAATGGCGACGACGTCGGTTTTATTGTTAGCGAAAGCAGAACGAATTCTCTCGGGACACGAGATTTGTTCTTGAGAAATGAATGTGAAGGGATAACACTTGGTCGAGCTGTAAATTTGAAATAAAAAACGAAAAAGAGAACGGTTCCTTAGCAAGTGATCAGTCTAGAATTCACATTAAGCGTATATTAAATTCAATAGGCCTTTTTTTGTCTCTCACCAGCCATTGTAGGCGAACAGGCCGGAATAGAATGATAAAGCCAGGGAAGTAACCTCGGTCTTTGTGTTGATGAATGTAAAGTGCTCCGTATGTCCTGGAATAATTACGCATGTCTGCTCGCAAATGATTTTCATCTTAAATTAGTCTCTTCCATGGGCGTCCATCGAATTTGAGGAAGCAGGATGGACACCCATGAACTCACCCCAATTGTCTCGTCGCATAAAAAGAGACGATTGGGGGTTGTTACATGATAGAAGAATCCAACCTACCATTGCAAAGCTGGTATCCTCCGGCTGCGATTATTACGAATAGGGCTAGCAGTTTGGCGTATGTGAATACGTCTTGCACTCTCGTCGCCCATTTCACATCGTAACAGTTGACAAATGTGAGGACACCTGAAAGGACGAATAATTGTTCAAAAGCGAAATCTTTCTTTGACGTGCTGGTCATTTTATGTGACAACAAAACTTCCGACTTACCTTGTATATTCTACGACTAATTTTAGTCAAGTATTGCTTGCATTTTGCGACACCTTTGCAAAAGGTTGCCAACAGCGCTATCAATGTCTTATTTTGAGCTGGAAGCTAAACGAACTGGACCCGTTATTTGGGCTTCCCCCTTTTGATTAGGCAAATCCTAGGCAGATGCGGCATCCCCAATATGGCCATGGGTCTTTCAATATTGGGAATGCTCACAAATTTTGCAAAAAAATGGAAATTAATTCCCCATGTGCATAGTCTATTTTGCAATGTATGCGCAAACTTTTCCAAGTTCTTTTTTGCCTCCACCATGCACGATTCTATTAAATAAAAAGACCCAGAAGTTTCTACGTAGTTATAGTGCTGAGATCTTAACCCCTGTGACGGCTGGACGATAGCCGATCGTTCGCACAAGATACATTGACTTGTTTTTCTCTGTCTCTTTCCGAAATTATACTGTAGCGAATATTCTATAAATCTAGAGAGACATCGGGGCGCCATCAAGTCGGTAAAAGATTAGTCACTGGCGATACGGAACGAAAGCGGATGAGACGCATTCTGTCTATGAAATATGATAGCCGACTTCGAGAATGTTCCGTAATTTTTATAGAAATTTTCCGTTTGCTATATAAGCAAATTCAATCGTTCCAACATCGATGCCGAATTGATGAGCAGTGATAATAATTTCCTGTTATAAATCAATGGTTCTTAAATAATTATATATAAATTACGTAATGTGACAATACAAACTGCTCTATTCACAATGACTTAAAATCTTTTTGTCTTTTGGAGTCAGCGGTATGTTTCATCTCTCAAAGAAGAAAATTACATTTTGGGTTGCATTCACCATATACCATCGGGATTCAAACCGCATCAACGTGGAACCAATAGTTGTCTATTTAAGAAGAATGTTAAGTTGTGGGGCTTTTGTTAATTCGAAGTATCTAATGGATACGAAGAAATTGAAGGGTCTCAAGAGAAATAGAAGTAGCCAAAATCTGACATTGCAGAATCCAAAGGAGCCAAAGAGATGGAAAAATGAAGAATCTAAAACACACCAAAAACTCCGAAACAAAGAAATTGAAGAACGCGATGTATACATCTAGGCACGATGCATCTGAAGAAACTGAGATCTGAAATTAAGGAATTGAAAGAATTCCACGAATTGGAAAAAACGAAGAATTTGAAGAAAATGAAAAAAATTCCAGAATAAAAAAATTTGCATGTTTTTGTTGAAGTGTCCCTAAGGATCCAAAGTATCTAAAGAATCAAAATAATGCGAAATCTGAAAGTAAAGAATCAAAATAATCGGAAGATTTTGAAGAATTCGAAGAATCGAAATAATTAAAAAATTTCAAAAAATGGAAAAACCGAAGAACCTAAAAACTGGATCTGACAAGGGCCTGAAAAATTCGAAATATTTTGGAGGGTGCGAGACCATCTGCAGAAACGAAAAAATCCGAAATGTAAAACCAAAAAATTCGAAAAACTGAAACATTTTTAAGCTGGCTCAAGAATCGAAGAGTTTTAAACAATTTAAAGAAATGAGAGGAATCCTAAAAAATTCCAAGAAATTCAAAAAACGAAGAACATGCACAGAAATACTTCGGAGTCGTGAACATCCGTATAGTTTGAAGAAACCTAATTATCTGAAGAACCTGAAGCTTCCGAATATTTCCAAGAATGGGAAGCATCTGAAGAAACAGTAGAATTCGAAGAATCGAAAGAATGAACTTTCCCACGAATCTAAAAAACTGAGGGATCCGCAAAATCCATACAGTTTGAATAATCCGAAGCATATCCGTAGCACCTTCAATGGTGAGAAGTATCTGAAGAAATCTGGCACTTGCCAATCCAAGGAATTCGAAGGAATGAAAGATTTTGAAGGATCGAATGAATCTCAAAAAATCGAAGAATCCGAAGAACCTAAAAAAAGTGTGAAGTATCTGAAGAATTAAAAAATTCAAAGAACTGGGATATGAATTTGAAGAACCTAAAAGGAACTGAAGGACCAAACAAAATCCGAAGTATCTCGAAGCGTGTAAACCACCAAAGAATCCGAAATATGCAAGTACAGACTCCAAAGATTTTGAAGAATTCGAAGAATCGAAAGAATTGAATAAAATTTCAAGAAATGGAAGATAACCGAAGAACCAAAAAAACCGAAGTATCTCGCAGGGCACGAAGCATGTGAAGAAACGGAAGAATCAGTACCATCGAAACGTAAAAGGTTCCAATAAATAGACAAATGCGAATAATCTAAAGAACCCAAAAAATAAGGAACCAGAAAAATCATTATTGGAAGAATACGAAGAATTTGAGAAACTGAAGAATGCGAAATCTGATATTAAAGAATCGAAAAAATTTGAAGAAATGAAAAATTAGATGGAAAGAATTGTAAGAAATTCTAAGAAAAAAATGAAGAGCTAGAAAATTTAAGGATCACAAAAATCTGCACAGTTTGGGGAATCAAGTCGAAGCATGTGAAGAAACTGAAGAATTCTAAATTTTAAAAATAAAAAATCTAAAGAATCCGAAAGTCCGAAGAAACAAAATCCCAAGAAAAGAAGAATCTGAAGAACTCGAAAACTGTTGGATCGGGTTTATGGCAGTTTACGGTCATGCCGTTTGGTTTGTGTAACGTCCCGGCCACGTTTGAGAGATTAATGGAACTGGCCTTCAGAAGTTTCCCCTGGAAATCGTGCCTTGTGTATTTGGACGACGTGATTGCGGGTGGGTACAAATTGGACACTTTTTTTATGGAAACACCCTTTATCTTTAGAGATAGGAAAAAATGGAACTAGGAGTCTTTGTTTTTTGTGTGTTATTTGAAATTAAAATTATTTGCAAACTAATAAACATTTCCAAATAAACAAGAAATTGTCTTTTTACACAATCCTGCCATCTTTTGTTCGCCATGGAAACCTAGATACCTACAATACCTACAATAAAAACATTTTGATGTATAAAATGCAATATTGCAAATAATATTTAATATAAATGTAATTTAGGAAATTTTACGCTCTTTTCAAAAACTCCATAATATATAGGGTGGTCCATATAAAAAAATATAGTTTAGGGTCGTATAAGGAAAACAAAATACCCTGTATAAAAACTGTGTCGCAATCGATTCCAGAAACAGCTTCTAGCGGCCAAATGATTCTGTTTGCGCCAGTGATTTTTTCTTTAAAATTGAGGTCCAATTTTTCTCTATTTCTTAAAATAAAGAGTGTATCTAGTATCCAATTTAGACCACCCTGTACAGAGCACAAATACGAAGACACGCACGACGCACAGCGCTTGTGGATGTTTAGTGAACACCACAAGAACTCCGGACAGCTGAAGAAAAACCGTGATTTGCTTCTGATGATAAACTGGAAAATGGAAGAGAAATACCAACCAGAGAAGAGATCTCTCGATATGGTCCAGTTTTAAAAGCGTATTAGGCTTAGTGAGACACGTTGTGGTTAGGAGATGGTCTTCTTCAGAGACTTCTAGAAAATAATGTGAAGGAATGGTTCAGAAAATTTGTCTTCCAGAATGGAACATGCACCAGAGGGTCTTCCTGCAAGCGCCGCCATTAAGTTCGCGTTATAGAACAAGAGGTGCCTAGGATTGTGTTTCCACTACGACCGTCATCAAGGTTGCGAGACGCGACAGTTTCAGGAGGGGGTCAGTGTAGCGAACATTCCAGAAATCCCGATGGACATCGAGGTGCCATTAAAGATTAGTCATCGGCGATAAAGAACGAAGGAGAATCTTTCGCTGAATGTGTTTGTTCGAGAACATTCTAGAAACCACCAACACCCAATATCGTGCAGCCCATAATTTTTTTGCATGCCGATGCTCCATCATTAGGTAAGAATTTTGGAAGTAATACATGCATCAATAGTGGTTTGAAACATGTCGGTTAGTCTCACTTGCTTCATTTAGGAAGTCATCCCAGCAGAGCAGAGATTTCAATAACAAAATCCAAAAATGTCTTCCTCCGTTTTCAAGTTATCCGTTACCAACTGGGAACAGACAGATTGACGCAATTGATTGATTAAAGACAGTGGCAAATAAATTGGGAAATACCAGAAATGGCGGTGAATTGTAAAGTAGGACTGCGCGATTTTGAGAGATCGTGAAAGAGTTTCAATTTCAAAACTGTAAGTGACGCTATCGGCCTGAAGTTACATTCGCTTTTTTTAAGGACATTCGTTCTTGGGGTAGTACCAACCGAAACGGGAAAACAAAAAATAACTAGGACCAATTTTAATAAATCAATTTTGAATTGCAACCTGCATTATTCGTATACCGCCAACAAAATGGAATTTCTCGAACTGTGGGTCACTTTTCGAAAAACGACAGGTAGAGGGTTTTAGGTGGGCCCTTGGGCCTTCACGGCGCCCTATCCTCCGCGTGCAAAACTCACTCAATTTATCAATTTTGAATTGCAATTTGCATTATTCGTATACCGCGCCATTGACCAAACAAAATGGAATTTCTCGAACTGTGGGGCACTTTTCGGAAAACGACAGGTAGAGGGTTTTAGGTGGGCCCTTGGGCCTTCACGGCGCCCTATCCTCCGCGTGCAAAACTCACTCAATGTTAATAAATCAATTTTGAATTGCAACTTGCATTATTCGTATACCACGCCATTGACCAAACAAAATATAATTTCTCGAACTGTGGGGCACTTTTCGAAAAACGACAGGTAGGGGGTTTTAGGTGCGTCCTTGGGCCTCCACGGCGCCCTATCCTCCGCGTGCAAAACTCACTCAATTTTAATAAATCAATTTTGAATTGCAACTTGCATTATTCGTATACCGCGCCATTGACCAAACAAAATGGAATTTCTCGAACTGTGGGGCACTTTTCGAAAAACGACAGGTAGGGGGTTTTAGGTGGCCCTTGGGCCTCCACGGCGCTTTTATCCTCCGCGTGCAAAACTCACTCAATTTTAATAAATCAATTTTGAATTGCAACTTGCATTATTCGTATACCGCGCCATTGACCAAACAAAAGGGAATTTTTCGAACTGTGGGGTGCTATTCGAAAAACGACAGATAGAGGGTTTTAGGTGGGCCCTTCGGCCTCCACGGCGCCCTTGCTTTCCGCGTGCAAAACTCACTCAATTTCAATAAATCAATTTTGAATTGCAACTTGCATTATTTGTATACCGCGCCATTGATCAAACAAAAGGGAATTTTTCGAACTGTGGGGTACTTTTCGAAAAACGACAGTTAAAGGTTTTTAGGGGAGCCCTTGGGCCTCCACGGCGCCCTTACCCTCCGCGTGTAAAACTCACTCAATTTTAATAAATCAATTTTGAATTAATGAATTGCAACTTGCATTATTCGTATACCGCGCCATTGACCAAACAAAAGGGAATTTTCGAACTGTGGGGCACTGTTCGATAAACGACAGTAGAGGGTTTTAGGTGAGCCCTTGGCCCTCCACGGCGCTTTTATCCTCCGCGTGCAAAACTCACTCAATTTTAATAAATCAATTTTGAATTGCAACTTGCATTATTCGTATACCGCGCCATTGACCAAACAAAAGGGAATTTTCGAACTGTGGGGCACTTTTCGAAAAACTACAGGTAGAGGGTTTTAGGTGGCCCCTTGGGCCTCCACGGCATCCTTATCCTCCTCGTGCAAAACTCACTCAACTTTAATAAATCAATTTTGAATTACAACTTGCATTATTCGTATACCGCGCCATTGACCAAACAAAAGGGAATTTCTCGAACTGTGGGGCACTTTTCGAAAAACTACAGGTAGGGGGTTTTAGGTGGGCCCTTGGGCCTCCACGGCGTCCTTATCCTCCGCGTGCAAAACTCACTCAATTTTAATAAATCAATTTTGAATTGCAACTTGCATTATTCGTATACCGCGCCATTGACCAAACAAAAGGGAATTTCTCGAACTGTGGGGCACTTTTCGAAAAACAACAGGTAGAGGGTTTTAAGTGGGCCCTTGGGCCTCCACGGCGCCCTTATCCTCCGNTCCGCGTGCAAAACTCACTCAATGTTAATAAATCAATTTTGAATTGCAACTTGCATTATTCGTATACCGCCAACAAAATGGAATTTCTCGAACTGTGGGTCACTTTTCGAAAAACGACAGGTAGAGGGTTTTAGGTGGGCCCTTGGGCCTCCACGGCGCCCTATCCTCCGCGTGCAAAACTCACTCAATTTTAAAAAATCAATTTTGAATTGCAACTTGCATTATTCGTATACCGCGCCATTGACCAAACAAAATGGAATTTCTCGAACTGTGGGGCACTTTTCGGAAAACGACAGGTAGAGGGTTTTAGGTGGGCTTGGGCCTCCACGGTGCCCTTATCCTCCGCGTGCAAAACTCACTCAATTTTAATAAATCAATTTTGAATTGCAACTTGCATTATTCGTATACCGCGCCATTGACCAAACAAAATGGAATTTCTCGAACTGTGGGGCACTTTTCGAAAAACGACAGGTAGGGGGTTTTAGGTGCGTCCTTGGGCCTCCACGGCGCCCTATCCTCCGCGTGCAAAACTCACTCAATTTTAATAAATCAATTTTGAATTGCAACTTGCATTATTCGTATACCACGCCATTGACCAAACAAAATATAATTTCTCGAACTGTGGGGCACTTTTTGAAAAACGACAGGTAGGGGGTTTTAGGTGCGTCCTTGGGCCTCCACGGCGCCCTTATCCTCCGCGTGCAAAACTCACTCAATGTTAATAAATCAATTTTGAATTGCAACTTGCATTATTCGTATACCGCCAACAAAATGGAATTTCTCGAACTGTGGGTCACTTTTCGAAAAACGACAGGTAGAGGGTTTTAGGTGGGCCCTTGGGCCTCCACGGCGCCCTTATCCTCCGCGTGCAAAACTCACTCAATTTTAATAAATCAATTTTGAATTGCAACTTGCATTATTCGTATACCGCGCCATTGACCAAACAAAAGGGAATTTCTCGAACTGTGGGGCACTTTTCGAAAACTACAGGTAGAGGGTTTTAGGTGGGCCCTTGGGCCTCCACGGCGTCCTTATCCTCCGCGTGCAAAACTCACTCAATTTTAATAAATCAATTTTGAATTACAACTTGCATTATTCGTATACCGCGCCATTGACCAAACAAAAGGGAATTTCTCGAACTGTGGGGCACTTTTCGAAAAACTACAGGTAGGGGGTTTTAGGTGGGCCCTTGGGCCTCCACGGTGTACTTATCCTCCGCGTGCAAAACTCACTCAATTTTAATAAATCAATTTTGAATTGCAACTTGCATTATTCGTATACCGCGCCATTGACCAAACAAAAGGGAATTTCTCGAACTGTGGGGCACTTTTCGAAAAACTACAGGTAGGGGTTTTTAGGTGGGCCCTTGGGCCTCCACGGCGTCCTTATCCTCCGCGTGCAAAACTCACTCAATTTTAATAAATCAATTTTGAATTGCAACTTGCATTATTCGTATACCGCGCCATTGACCAAACAAAAGGGAATTTCTCGAACTGTGGGGCACTTTTCGAAAAACTACAGGTAGGGGGTTTTAGGTGGGCCCTTGGGCCTCCACGGCGCCTTATCCTCCGCGTGCAAAACTCACTCACTCACACACTTGCGGAATTTGTCAACTTCGGGGACGAATTTGTCGGGGGTTTAGGGCTATTTTCCGAAAAGGGGATGAGAATTGGTCCCGGTGCCATCACTTTCGATGGCCATTGATAAAAAAAAAAAAAAACAAAAAAAAACGAATGTAACTTCAGCCCGGTCCTAGTTATTTTTTGTTTTCTCGTTTAGGTTGGTACTACCCCAAAAGCGAATGTCCTTAAAAAAAAAAGCGAATGTAACTTCAGGCTGGTGGGAGCAGCTTACATCCTTATCCATAACCTACTTACTAAAAAAAACAAAAAAAAAGTTAAACGGCCAAAACGATTTTGGATTCAGCAAATCTACAGAAACCGAAATGTAGGACCGCAATTGCTCGACGAATTACATTCTGAGCAATTTCAAAATTTTGTGCGTATGGTTCCCGAGGATTATGAGTATCTCGTAAACGCCATTACACTCAAGATAAAAAAGAAGGACACAACACTCAGGAATGCAGTAACAGTTAGGGAACGGTTAGCAATTACACTTCGCTTCCTAGCAACCGGTGATTCATATACTAGTCTCCAATATTTATTCAAAGTCTCCAAACAGTTAATTTCGACTATTGTCCCGGACGTGTGTTGTGCGTTAATAGAAGTTTTAAAAGACCAAATTAAGGTAAGTGAAATAGCTTTTAAGAATAAGTTTTATTGGTTAACGTAGGATTAACGTAGTTAAACATACATGTGATTACAAAACTCGAAAACTATAAGCATTTGTGCTTGAACTTGAACTTGGTCCAACAGAGCAACACATGTTGACTGTTTCAGTATTGTATGACGGTTCTGATTCCGGATACGTTTGATGAGGACTTGGACTTAACACAGGAGTAGAACCGGAAGAAGTATTATAATTTATTACGGGAGGGTACGTTGATTCAATATTCCCCATATCCGCCTCAAATAATATGTTGTTGATAGAATGTTCTACAATCGCCTGTGTTCTTTTATTGTAGGTTCTCAATTTAGCAGCTATATGTTGCCCAAATATAGTAAAACGATCTGTAGATACATTTTGAGATGCGCTGTATTTTGCATGCGTATCTTTTAATATCGCATATGCTTCCTGTATTCTGACATCTTCTTTTTCTTTGGGTTTCTTTAATTTCTTTGGGCGAGGAGGCTCTGTATTTTCTACCACAGCGGTATTAATGACAACCAATGCGTCTTCAGTATCTTGCGGTTCTAGCGGAATTTCCGTACCATCCGTATTAGCATCCAATTGGGAAGAAGTGTCTTCATCCAATGTACCCTGTAAAAAGTGCAAATACATAAAATAAAGCTTGCAGATAATTATACAGATGTGATTGAATTAATATTATTCGCTTAGAAATGTCTGTCTGATTTTATTCATTTTATTGTTAATGTTTTATTTCAGATGCCAAATAATCCTGCTGAATGGAAACAAGTAAGCCGCGATTTTGAAAGATTATGGAACTTTCCATTATGCATTGGAGCCATGGATGGCAAGCATGTAGTGCTTCAATGCCCCATTGGTAGTGGAAGTGATTATTATAATTATAAGTCGTTTTATAGCATTGTCCTATTTGCTGTGGTCGATGCGAATTACAAGTTTTTATATGTGGATGTGGGATGTCAAGGGCGCATATCCGATGGAGGCGTCTTCAAACACAGTCAACTGTATAAAATGATTGAAAAAAATCAACTGAATTTGCCAGAAAATATCAATTTGCCGGAAAGAAGAAGATCAGTCCCTTATGTAATCCTTGGTGATGAAGCATTTCCTTTAACGGAGAATATAATGAAACCATATTCCGGAAACCATTCAAAAGGTTCTCCTGAACGAATTTTCAATTATAGGCTTTCGCGTGCACGTCGAGTTGTTGAAAACGCCTTTGGTATTGCTTCTTCAGTGTTTAGAATATTGAGAAAACCAATGCTGTTGGAACCAGAAAAGGCAGAACTCATTACTTTAACGGTGGCGTATCTACACAATTTTTTAAGAACATCGAAACTCTCTCACAACATATACACCCCTACGGGGGCCCTAGATTATGAAAGTGATGGAAAATTATTGCGAGGTACCTGGAGGAATGACACACACGTTAATACATCGTCACTGCTTCCACTGACAAACGTGCCACGCAGAGCGTCGGAAAATGCGAAAGCGATTAGAGACGAGTTTAGTACATATTTTAATACAAACGGACGTGTTAGTTGGCAAGACGATATGGCTTAGTTTACAGTTTATTCAAGCTACTTACATCTTCTGTGTCGATGGTCTCTCGTGGTTCGTCTTTGTCCAGTAGAAACTGCATTCGTTCAAATGCGAACCATTTTGAAATGTAAACATCTTGCCTTGCTGTAAATTAAATTTTTAATTAAATTAGCGCAAACACTCCAAAGTTTTTTAAAAGTATACACTGGCAAGTACAGTTTTCTAAATACCTACCTTTCCCAGTTCCAATTGTCTTTTTGCCCTTACTTTTCTGGGCACGAAACGATCCCAATAAACTGGTCATTTTTTGCTTAATTCCGTTTAGTTCTTTATTTAAATTCTGTGCTATGCTATCCCACGCATCTATTTTCTTATTTTTGGAATAATGGAAGGGATGTTTTGCATCCCATAAGACCGGATGTTGTTCGTACAAATCGATTAACTGTAGACAGTCATCGTTTGACCACTCCATTTTTAATACTAACGTGTCGTTAAAAAATATTCCGGTAGGTATACGTTCTAGCTGCAAGAATACACTGAAATGTCGTCCAAACTGAGCAAGCACGCACAATATAATTCCTTTGAGCGGCGACTAAAAACCGACACCTTTTGGCTCACATCATGCGCGTTCGTCGTGACTCGCGAGAAGAAAAACATGCGCCGAGTCGTTGCGAATTGACGTCCACACTTGAATGTTTATGTGTGTTCGTGGCGACTCAGCGCATGCATATGCAAGTCAGTACGCGGCTTTTTATGCATACGAGTTTATTTAAAGCCCTTGGAAGAACAATTTCAATAATAGGTATATTAAACTGAACCGTTTTACAACAACTTTCACACGAAGATCGCACAAACAACACATTTTTTCGTGATTGCAAACTGCGTAACACTTTTGCCTTATTTCGCTGCCAATTTCACTACCGTTTCTACAACCGTAGTTCTATCAAATAAACTCTAGGCTCAATTCTTTAAAGAATAGCTTCGCACCATCGCCAGCTGCTGCAATCATGTAATCGTTCCGATTTTAACCTTGAGAAATTTGAATTGCATTAGAATGGGTTTTCTGCGAGTTCTCCACGGTGTCCTCCTGTTTTGGTTACAAAGCATTTCCCTTTTCAATTTGTGTTGTCTGAATTCAATGCTAACGTTTCTCATCCATAGAGAACTACATGTCTTCGATTGCACGACCCAGAGCGAACAGTATCATATTCCGCAAAGGTTGAGTCTGCCGCTTTCCTGTCACTCCCAGTAGCCAGTTCTCTAATTTAAACCTGTAAGCGAGAAAGGAATGATAACAAAGTTTAATTTTTGACTATAAAATAAACAAACATTCATTAAGCATTTGAGGTTAAAACTTCATATATCTATGGTTTTTAAAAACTGCGCTCTGACATCTAACGTTAGTTTCATAAAGTACATTTCAAAAATAGTGTGGAGTCATCTTCGAGGTGTAAGTTCCAACTAAAATAATGGTGGTAATAAAGTGTCCTGCATTTAGCGATAAAATGTTAGTCCCCAATAATAAAGACAGATGTCAGCACGATGTATTCTGCTTTGATTCCAAAAACTCGGGCAAGGCTATAAACATTTTGGGATTTGTGCCTTTCGCTGTCAAAGGAGTAAACCACGAAACTCGAAAATTAAACATTTCGCTCCTGTATTATAGTCTATTCCTTTGCGTCATAGCGTTTTTGGAATGCCAAAGGACAGGGCGGGTAAACGGACGGCCGTCCGTATACCTCTTTGGTATACCTATACCTAGATTTTTGACGATTCTAATAAAGTATTTGTTCGCAATACACGAGTTAAATCGCCATAATGGGCTACTAGTTCAAAAGTTACAGCCCTTTGAATTTTTTTCTAGTCTATAACTTTTGATTGAGAAGTCTGATCGAAAAAGTACAAACTGATATGGATTTTACGCACCCAAATTAATAAGAAAAAATGTTTTCCCGAGAATTTTTGGTGTAGTCGATTTTTGGTAAAAAAGGAAGGTAAAACACTGCCTTTTTTGAACCCCGAAGCAAAAATGATCTCAGATCGACCCGGAAAAAAAATTTATTTATAGAATGTGGCCTGTAGAATCCATAATTTCAAACAGTTCCAAGATTGGGCTACGAATTCAAAAATTACAGCCCTTTGAATTTTTTTCTAGTCGATAACTTTTGATTGAGAAGTCTGATCGAAAAAGTACAAACTGATATGGATTTTACGCACCCAAATTAATAAGAAAAAATGTTTTCCCGAGAATTTTTGGTGTAGTCAATTTTTGGTAAAAAAGGAAGGTAAAACACTGCCTTTTTTTGAGCCCCGAAAAAAAATTGTCTGAGATCGACCCGGAAAAAAATTTTCTTATAGAATGTGGCCTGTAGAATCCATAATTTCAAACAGTTCCAAGATTGGGCTACTCGTTCAAAAGTTACAGCCCTTTGAATTTTTTTCTAGTCGTTAACTTTTGATTGAGAAGTCTGATTGCGAGTTGCGACCAGAGACATGTATAAACAACATTCCTAACCTCAAATAAATTTGAATGGTTGTGAATGTCTGAAAAGTCAAGACTGTGTTCCAAATAATGTTGTTATTAAGAAATAGTAAAATGTTTTTATTTACTATACGTTACAGCGGGGTTCCGCTTTTAGAAAACTAATAGCGTACATTTATCTGTTTCATATTTCGTCCTACCCACATCTTGCAATGGCACATTTACCCCACAGGTAAGACTATTACGAATGATTAATGATTCTAGTTAAATTCAAAATATTTAGAACATCTATATTACAAGACCGTCTACAAAAATTGAAGAACAGCGAGGCAAATTGTAGAAAAATATGGCAACAGTACCAAATTGTTGCGAAGTACTATGAAAGTAATCCAGTTGGTCCATGTCCCTTCTCCATAACTGAATTACATAAAAACACTTTTCGAACCAAGACAGTAAAAATTAACAACTCTATATTTGAGGTGTTGCGAAAGCGTATGTTTGAGTTTCAGCAAGATATCTCTAAAATCAATGTTTTAAATAAACAATTTGATGTAGAAACGAAAAAGTTTCTAAAGCATCTCGGTAAAAGTGTATGTATTTGATGTTAGTGTACCTACTGTGCGTTTAGAAAAGTAATTTTATAGAATACAGCATTGTGGCAATGCAATGGAGAGAAACTGTCTGTTGTCAAACTGGATAAGCAATTCTGATTTATCGGTCAATTTGGATCAGGACACAACTGCATTTAAAACAACCATAATATTTGACGAGTTTCTGTGTCAATTTTATATTTAGTAATAGATACTTGCTACACGTTTTAAATGAGTTTTCATACAAGACCATTCAACAAACACTCCTTAAACTACAAAACAAATGATAAACATGTACATGAAGCGCTGGATATCTGCGAAATGCAAGAGAGTATCAAGCATTCTTTGCTTTGCACAGCGCCAAAGTGTTATGAAAGGTAAGAACTTTTTCTGTTAAAAATCAGGTTAAAAGTGAACATGAGCACATGTGGATGATACCAAAGACTATAGGATAGGTAGTCTTTGATGATACTTCCATCTCAACTTCCATTGACTTATTGATTAAACATTTACAATAAATAGAAAATAGCGAGTTTTGCTTAATATGCAACGTAGGTTTAGTAAATTAGCGAAAAATCGAATAGACCCCAAAATAACTCGAGCAGGGTGTGTATTTGGCTATTTGCATATTAAAAAATAATATTACGTATTATTGCAGAAGCCCAAGCGTTATACCATTTCATGTACCTCACAAAAAGCTTTTAGAAAAAATAGAAAGCAAGCGGCAAGAAAAGGAACCTTTGGTAAGTATCTACTTAATTTGTAATTCTTTAATAAAATTAATTTATTTCAGACCGGCTATTTAAATCGACAAAATGCGTTGTGTAAACATAAAACATTTTTTGAGGACAGTTCAACAAAAAAAAGTTACAGAGAAAAGCTTTTTTATAAAAATTTTCTTACTATTACTTTCACAGGATCACGTCTTTCGTTAGACAAGCATAAGTCTAAGGTACTGTTTGCCTCTCCCAGAGATCTTATTAGAACACCAAGAGTAGTAGGCAGTACCTTTGTTTTGCCACATCATCGCTTGCCAGAGGTTGTTGATCAAGCCGAATTAATAAAGCAGTTCAAAGAGGAAAAGGGTGGCTTCTTTATTTATATGATTTATGCATGTCCCAGGTCGTCAGAATATTATACACCCTACGCTTTAAAGTATAGGCACTCTTAAGTTTCTGAAAATCTATCAAAATTCCTTGCAGAATTGTTCCGTACAAAGAAATTGATAAATCGAACTTTATGACAATGAGTTCGCATGGAGTAATGCAACATGTAGGCACGGAGGTAGTATTCACCCATTTGCATAAGTGGGAATTGGAATACAATATGTACTGCAGACTAATGAAAATTAAATCGTTTTTTAATTTTCGATTGTGGAAGACATTTTATGTTTGGCGAAAAGGAATCTTGTATAAGAAGTTCCAGAAGGCGGCCACCTTCTTGAACGGTAACTTATTCATGCTTCTTCCATCCCTGCGAGTGGCCCTTATCGACATTCAACACTTGTGTTACGTTACTGCAGGCTTAAATTTTATGGATGTATCTACGATTAAAAATTGGCACCTTTTCTACTTTATTGAGGCGCAGGTTGAATATATATGACAGTAATACTTGCGTTCTCTACAAGTCACTTTTAGATGGAAAAATTGGAAATGGTAGTTCATAAGTTGAAAGAATTCCGAGAAGTTGTAAGGGAAATAGTGGTAAATGCGTGTCATGGTGCGTTATTGGCGCAAGGTTTCGTGGTCAATGAATATTTGCTAGAGGACGGTCAAGGTAAGGGTTTCATCTTTGCTCTGTTATATAGGGTAAACTGGAAAATTGGGAGGTATATGTTTTAAAAATTGATCAAGCAAAACCGATTTTCTGGTTGTTTTTGTTATAAGACTAATTATTTATATTTGTAGAATAGAAAATAATATTGTAACGTTTCAGAATCACAATACAAATAGTCCTTTAACATTATAACAGAATAAAACATGAATGTTTTTTTATAAAGGCAAAAGCGTCAAAACCGCAATTTTTCGATTAATGGTGACAATCAAAATATTCAATAAACTAATTTAAATGTATATTGTAAAAATCAAACATGATATTAACAACCTATCTCTAACTATATCAAAAGACAGAGGAAGATTTTTAGCTACTTCCTCCCATAATCTAATGGATGGTTGTATACATTACCCTCAAAATACCTTTGTAGCCTTATGGATAATAATACCTTTCGGATCTATATTGCACTCCGGATGGGTTTAGAAATTTGTACAGTTGTATTTGTGGTCGAAGTAGAAAATTATTGTTATTATTAGGTACGTTTTTGATAGTACTACAATTACGGAGATATCCTAGGAGACAACCTAGAAAATGTGACATCTTGTACCTACATTATACATTTTCCAGAGCGTTCGAAGGATTTTCAGGGTAATCGAAACTTTGGCAATTTTCTAGACACTTTATAGCTTTCTGGTCCTTTGAAAGCATTCTCTCCGCTTCAGAGCTGCGCAGTCCATTTCTAGAGCGTCTGATATATCTAATAAGGGTGGAATTCATAGATATTATTTAAGTTAGACACGCACTTAACGAAGTGCGCACTTAGTTTAGTTTAAGTGGAGCTTATATTTACTGCTAGTATTCCTGCTTAACTGTCCGTATTTCGCGCGACTGTAGCAATAATGTCATGTCACCTTAGCAATTATATCTTTGAATACCACTAAGTACACGCTAATTATGAGTCAAGTGTAAGTCTAACTTAAGTAATGTCTATGAACTCCACCCTAAAGCTTTTCCAGAGCTTTATGGGCCAATCAGAGCTTTCTAGGCCGTTGTCACCTACCAGTTTAGCCTATAGTCTAAGAGGTAGCGAAGCATTTGACTAACCCATTTCGCACAAAACTAGAAAATTTTTAAATGATGCTTTTTTATCAGTCAATTAAGAATATTCCGTTTTGGTAGGCATCTCGCGGTAGCGTCAAGATGATCCTTCAAATGTATGTATTATATATAATTATGGCGATAATTCCATGGTTGATTGTGATTGTGATTGTGAAATCAATTTTCATTCGTTTATTGTCTCGCACAGTCACCATTGACACAGCCATGGAATTATTCCCATAAGTAAATACATTACAAACTTCAAACATTTAAAAGATGATGACGCAACCGCGAGATGCCTGCCAGAACGGTATTTTCTTAATTGACTGATAACAAAGCATCATTTTAACAGTTTTTTAGCGTTGTGCGAAATGTGTTAGTCGGATACTAGCTCTCTTACTACTAGTCTAGTTCTGGAAAGATCGCACAGATGCATTTGAGACCTTGAAAAACTCTGGAAAAGGATAAGACGCTCAAGATAGGCGTCAGACAGCTTTGGAGGGTTTAAACAGGTTCTAGATAATCTTGTAAAAAACTAGGAACAGCATAGAACTTTGCCAGGTGCCTAAAATGCACTAGAAAATGCTCTGGGTTATTCCAGAATACGCTGATAATGCGCCAACCTTCAGTTACCCTAGATTAACATATTTATGATTATTTTCTTTAGGCAAAAAAAAAGATCGGACTCTTAAATTATCGTATATTGAGCAAGCAAAGAAAGGAAAGTTTTGTCTGCGGCTCACGTGGTATGTTAATAGGGGAAGCGGAACAGTTTAAACCAAATCATTATAGTTTCATAACGCTTGTCGATTATATGATAATAAATATGCTGCATAACGTGACAATGACATCCTTTGTTGAACTAATGGACACCTTCAAGCAACACTTAGATTACTTACCCAGCCTTGGAACATCGGAGCTGGCGGAATACGACACGAGAATTGAAAAACCAAGACCTGAAGGATCAACCGAAGTATACCTATACTGCAATTTTAACCTAATAACTAAGAAGACGATTTCTTTTAGCTACCCTTGTTCATTGTAAACGTGGTCGCGGGGTCCTGTGAAATGGGTACGGAGCCCTGTTATGAAACTGCCGAAGGAATTTTCCAACAAATCATTGCTCTGTGGATACAATCTGTGAAAGACATTAGGCCACTAATTGCTGATAGTGTGTACGAACCATTCACAAAGTAAGCATTTGATGTAGCGTAGGTTGTCACTTATTTAAAATAACTAATATTTCAGTCCTATGATAAATGGGAAAAAAGAAGATAGGATATGCGGTTACGGCCCACCCATTTCTTTTTATCTAGAAGACGATGAGCATCTGCAAAGCGTGCAGCAGGAAACTTTTAACTTGTTGAAGTTTAACTACGAAGCCGCTCATGTTTACATTCAAAGGCTTGAGCCAATTCGAACATTTTTTGCTGCTGACCTCGGTACTACAGCAGAGACCATCGAAAAAGAAAGAGTACTGGAAGTTTTTAGAGGTTGGTGCACTCGTTATCATAAAGAAGTAGAAATTGTCAATACTGTGATCGATCTACAACCGCTTGGAATTTTATATATGAATCAAAAATTATTCAAACAAACCATTTTACCGGAACCCAAAAGACTGATTAATATAATCGAACATACAATGCCTTGGTAATAAAAATTTACCGTATTAGTTCCATTTGGTTAAATATTTCGCTTATCAGCATTGGTAAAGATAAGGTTAATGGCCTTCTCCAAGAAGCAGAAGAATCCCAACTATTTTTGGAGGTTCCTCCTACAACAACTCTCGAAATTGTCGATTATCTGATGTTTGTGGAGAAGGCAGTGTTGAGGATGGACGAGATGGAACTGGAACTGGAGTACTGTAAAGAATTATACGATATTATGGAAGAGTTTCGTATCATGATTGATCCGGACGAATTATCGAACTATTTAGGTCTCAGTATAAACATAGGTAATCTACGAAATTTAGTTGATAAAAAGAACGAAGAACGACCTACAACCATAAAGAAATTGAACGATCAGTTGAATAAAGATATTAGCAACTTAATATCCGAAGTGGGAATTATCAAGGATGAGTGTCTTGTAAATTAATAACGATGTACGTTTTTATTTGTCTCATTGCGCATGTCTTTTAGGAACCGTGGTTATATGACATAGAATCAGATGCCAAGGAAGCCACTAATTTTCTTGACACATTGTATACTCGCCTTAGTGCTTGTCAAGGTCGCGCCGGAGAATTCAAATCCTACCAGAAGCAGTTTAGGGTATGTGACACTTTCAGTCAAATGGAATAAATTCGATAATAAGTAAATTAGATTGATTGTGTTTAAAAAAAACGCAGAACACACGTCGATTGCTATTTTTTAGTTGCGCAAAATTTGTTCATTATTCGAATATTTGTCTGAAGTATTCGTTTAATTAAGAGTTTCCCAAGAATCATATTATTCAAATATTAGTATTCCAATACTATCTATTCAAAAAATTCGCCAGCCCTACTAACAAGGTTACACTTGTAACTGTAGATGGAAGTCACCAGATTTGATATGCTGGATGAAGTAATGAATGATTTGAAGCTACGCATGCTGCTATGGGAAAGTCTAGATTCTTGGCATAAAGAAGTTAAGGAATGGTACACGACAGATTTCCAAACATTAAATACGGAGGAAATGAATTTGTTTACGGCCAAGACCGTTAAAAATATAACGCAGCTCGAAAAGGGACTTCCGAGGAACTTAATTCTGCCAAAGTTAAAGGACGAAGTTGAGCTGGTGAAGAATAAGGTAATACAGATTCACTTATTCTATAAATATATTGAATAACATTCGTATCGCTTAGCTTCCTACCATTACGTATCTGCGCAATCCGTCTTTGCGTCAAAGACACTGGCTCAAAATTGAAAATGTGCTCAATCATAAATTCAAGGCTGAAGAAATGATTACCTTGACGATGTTAGAAGAATTGCGTGTGTTTGATTATCCCGACGAAATTATGGAAATATCCGGTCAGGCTAGTAGCGAGGCCGGACTTGAATTGCTACTCAAAAAAGTATTTCAAACGCTGTTTTGGTCCCACTGTCTGCTATTTACATAGTTTACAGGTCGAAGAAAGTTGGAAAACAATCGAGTTCTCTGTTGTGCCACATCGTGACGCTAAAGACGTGTACATTTTGGGTTCGCTTGAAGAAATTCAGGTGGTATTGGATGATAGTAACATTAACATCGCTACAATTGCTAGCTCTCGTCATGTTGGACCTATTAAACCTCGTGTGGAGGAATGGGCGAGGCTACTAGACCTATTTTCTCGAACATTGGTAGTTTTAGTAGCTGTCTTTATTAAGTGTAAAATTTATTTTCAGGACGAATGGCAACTCTGCCAACAAAGCTGGGTTTATTTAGAGATAATATTTTCGGCGCCCGATATTCAGCGTCAACTTCCCTCAGAAGCGAAAATGTTTTTAATTGTGGATAAGTCGTGGAAAGAGATTATGAGACGTACGGCAAAGGTTCCTTTGGCAATTGACGCAGCTACGTACCCCGGCTTGCTAGAGACATTCATTAAAAACAATGCGCTTTTAGAGCAAATTATGAAATGCCTCGAATCATATTTAGAAACTAAACGTGTATCTTTCCCACGATTCTATTTCTTGTCCAATGACGAATTATTGGACATTTTGGCGCAGGTTTTTATGATGAGTGAAATATTTGTACTGATTGCTTATTGCAGACTAGAAATCCGTTCGCCGTTCAACCGCATTTGCGTAAGTGTTTCGATGCCATCGCAAAGTTAGAGTTTGGCACAAAGGTAGCAAACGAAGAAGAGGATGAGGAAGGCACAGGCAAGCAGGAAGTTATCATGACAACGGATATTATCGCCATGATTAGTCCGGAGGGAGAGAGGGTCGAATTAGGAAAAGGGCTAAAAGCTCGTGGCAACGTCGAGGATTGGCTGGGTAAAGTTGAGGAATCAATGTTCGTCTCGTTAAGAAGGCGAATGAGGTTCTCACTTGAGCACTATTTTACGTTGGCACGCGAGGATTGGGTTGTTTGTCATCCGAATCAAATTATTCTGACAATGTCTCAGGTGATGTGGGCACGAGATGTTCATGCCATCCTGGATGGAAATGGCAATAAGCTATCCGAACTTCCGATGTTTGAAAAGAAGTGCATCATTGTAAGTTACTTTTATTATTTCAACGCGAACAGGCTTTATTTTGCAGAACCTGAACAAACTCGCTGGCCTGGTGCGCAAAGATTTGACGCCAGTCGTACGAAAAATATTGGTCGCTCTTATAACAATTGACGTACATGCGAGAGACACTATCACCAGCATGGCAAAAAATAAAGTGCAATCGAGGTACAAAAAGCGGGCAGCTTAAATATTTCATTTCCATTCCCTTTTCTTTTTGCAGTATCGATTTCGAATGGTTGAAAATGATTCGATATTATTGGCTCGAAAGTATCGATAATTGTGTAGCACGTATGTCAAGCGCCGAGCTACCATATGGCTATGAGTATCTGGGGGCCGGTGGTGTTCTGGTGATCACTCCACTTACCGATAAGTGCTATTTGTGTTTAATGGGAGCATTACAGCTTGATTTAGGTAACTATCAATCAAAATAAATTAATCTATCGTCATTTGATTAGGTGGTGCACCTGCTGGACCAGCCGGCACAGGAAAAACTGAGACGACAAAAGATTTAGCCAAAGCTCTAGCAATTCAGTGCGTCGTGTTTAATTGCTCGGAAGGTTTAGACTATAAAATGATGGGACGATTTTTCTCCGGTCTAGCCCAATCGGGCGCTTGGTGCTGCTTTGACGAATTTAATCGTATCGACATTGAAGTACTATCCGTAATTGCACAGCAGCTGATAACAATACGAAATGCGAAAGCGGCGAAATTACAAAGATTTATGTTTGAAGGAAGAGAAATTAAGCTGGTGCAGAGATGCGCCGCGTTCATTACTATGAATCCCGGATATGCGGGAAGAACGGAGTTACCTGATAATTTGAAAGCACTCTTTAGACCAGTTTCCATGATGGTCCCGGATTATGGTAGGTCATCAGTTTACATTTGTTTCAAAGGTAGAGATATGAATCCGTACCTGGTTCCACCATAAAGAAAGTCTTTTCAATGTAGGAAACAAATTAAGTTTTATACTGTTGTGGTAAAAGTAAGTATAGCTAGTTTTGTTTTACTTGGAGCTGGTTTATTATCTCGCGTGACTCGTTCCCATTTGATTTTTTCAAATGCTTCAGTAACATTTGAGACCACGTACACATTACATTTACTATTTTTCTTTTAATTAATTACTAAAATTGCAATTTGGTCTGTACTTAATGTGATGCAAGGGATTTTATTGCAGCTTTAATTGCCGAGGTAACTTTATACTCGGAAGGTTTTGAGTCATCCAAAATATTATCGCATAAAATGGTTCAAATGTATAAGCTATGTAGCGAGCAATTGTCTCTACAAGATCACTATGATTTTGGAATGCGAGCTGTAAAAAGTGTATTGGTAATGGCCGGTACACTTAAGCGTGCGTCTCCTGATCGTAACGAGGAGATTGTGCTGATATGCGCCTTGCGAGATAGTAATCTACCTAAGTTTTTGACGGACGATGCAGTGTTATTTCAAGTAAGTTTTCCATTTATCAAAACACAATTTAATTTGCTTTTAATATGGATCTATCGTGGTGTAGAAATCACCATAGAAACAATTGTGGCAATAATTGTAACCATAGCAAAATCTATCAAACCGATTTAATCGGTTGAATTATCGTAAACCCCCACTATTTGTCGTGTAATTTATACAGTGTTTGTATTATGTGACGCCAAAATGCGATTGTCTAAGTTTGTAATGTTTAATTGCAATTTAATTCCATCGGAAACAAAGTACGTTTACCATAAATATTGAATTTTAAAGACCTTGTCATAATTACATTGTAGAAAATCTATTATGTACCTACCTACATTTTGACAAGAGTTTATTGAACAAAACACTTTTAAGGGTATATTGAGCGATCTATTCCCCGGTGTAACACTACCGGTTCAAGAGTATGGGGACTTTTTAGTCGCAATTGAAAACAGCTTGGAGGCGCAAAACTTACAAACCGAGGCGTCTATGGCTAAAAAAATAATCCAGTTATACGAAACCATGATCGTACGTTGGGGAGTTATGTTAGTCGGTCCTACTGGTGGAGGAAAGAGTTCGATACTTTATGTGAGTGGGCAGGTCTTCCTTTTAAAGGCCCTAGCATTCGATTGCAGACCTTAAAACTGGCGTTGGAAAAAATGCATCACGACGGATTTGAAGGTCCATACTACAGACCTGTTCATACATATATTATGAACCCTAAAGCCGTAACCGCCGGCGAGCTGTACGGTGAAGTTAATCCATTTACACTAGAATGGCGCGATGGCCTAATGGGAATAATGGTGCGCACATCTGTTCAGGTATAGCTGGTTTT